CAGCCAGTGTCTGATTTTGACAACTGTAACGGGGTGCCAAAAAATTGAAAATATTTAAATTTTCACGGGAAGCCAAAATTTTCACGGGAGAGAGGCCAAAATTTGTAGTAGTGTGGTTGACGACATTTTTTGCTTATCACGTTCAATTTTTGGTTGATTTTACACATAAAACGGTCTTTTTATTAAAAACTGCTCACTAGAACGCAAACCGAACTGGATTAACTCTCTCATGAAAAAACTCCAAAAAGACCTGCACGTGTGATCTCTTCTTGCAAAGATCCATTTTATTATGACAGATTGAAAAAGTAAGTTTGTCGTCGTCAGCTTACAGAAGAAGTAAGTTTGTCGACGTTAGCTTACAGAAGAAAAAAAGCTGATCATATATTGTTAAATTTCTTATTACGTAGATCGCTTAATTAATTGATACAATATTGAAAGACATTAATAGACAAGAAATAAACTTTGCAACGTTCTCGACTTGTTTATTATCAACCGGATCAACAGAAAAGGAAAAGTGAAGTTACATAAAAAGCAAAGAACATTTGGTCCAAAGAAAATAAATGTATATTATAAATCATAATGTTTTAATATAAAACATAAAACTTAACACCTTCTCATTTTATTTAAAACATTAGATGACCTTAACCTAAATGTTCTGAAGACCCATCGCACACATCAGATTCTTTAGTCTTGGTCCTACCATTGGTTTTGTCAGAGCATCAGCAACTTGAAGTTCTGTCGCAACTCGTTCAACTGAAACTTCTTCTTCTGCAACTTTTTCTCTGACAAAGAAATGTCTAATGTGGATGTGCTTTGTTCTTCTGTGAAGTTCTGGATTGTGTGCTAACCGAATTGCTGCTTCATTGTCGACAAAAATTTCTGGTTTTTTCTTTAGATCTACGATGTCGTTCAACAATCGTTTGAGCCATATCACTTCACGAGCTGCTTCACTTGCGGCAACGATTTCTGCTTCAGTAGTTGAAATCGCAACTGATGGCTGACGTTGGCTAAACCAACTGATCACGCTTCCTCCAAACATACAGATTACACCTGATGTCGATCTTCCACTAGATTTATCTCCTCCATGATCTGCATCACTGTAGGCTATAAGTGTATTGTTTTGACCAGACTTGTAAGCAATACCGACATCAGCTGTGCCTTGCAAATATCTGAAAATTTGCTTAACTTGTGCTACACTGGACTTGCTGGGTTTCTCTAAACTTCTGGATGCTACTCCAACTGCATATGCAATATCTGGTCTTTAAGTCCGTCATTAAGTACATCAATGCACCAACTGCTGATCTGTAAGGAAATTTCACTTCCTCATGTTCATTTTTGTTTTCATCGAACTCCTCAGATTTTGAAATCGGAGTTGTACAGGATTTACACTGACTCATCCCAAACTTTTCAAGAATCATTCTTGTATAGGATGACTGACTGACATTAATATTTCCCTTCTCATCTTGATTAATCTCTAATCCAAGGAAATATTTTGCAGGTTTAGATGTTATCTTGAACTCAGACTTTAATTTTTTTTCAAATATTTTTAGTTCTTCTTTATCGGTTCCTGCAACTAGTCCATCATCAACATACAGTGCAAGTATGAGTTTCTTTCCTCCCTGTATTCTAATGAACAAACAAGTATCTGCATCGCTTTGTTTGAAATGTCTCTTTTTCAAGAATTCAGCAAAGCGTTTGTTCCAACATCTTGGAGCTTGTTTAAGTCCATAGAGACTTCGCTTGAGTTTACAGACTCTTCCTGAATTATCTTTAAAACCTTCAGGTTGCTCCATGTAAATATCTTCATCTAGTTTGCTGTATAGAAATGCTGTTGACACATCAAACTGCATGAGTGACATCTTTTCATTTGCAGCAACACTTAATAGTGTTCTTATAGTTGAACTTCTGACCACAGGACTATAGGTTTCTTCATAGTCAATTCCCTTTTTCTGAGAAAAACCTTTTACCACTAGCCTGGCTTTAAAACGTTCAACAGAACCATCTGGATTGTGTTTTACCTTGTAGACCCATTTGCATGGTATTGCCTTATGACCTTTTGGAAGACTTACCAAATCCCACGTTTGATTTTCCTTTAATGACTGCATTTCACTGTTCATGGCTTTAAACCATTCATCTTTTTCATCACTTTGAATGGCATCTTTGTAGCTCTCTGGTTCAAGTACTTCACTTAATGCAGACATAACTAAAGGATCATAACGAGATGGCTTTTTGATATTATTCCTGTCACGTAAAACCATACCTTTGGTCTTTTGATTACAACAGTCAGATTGATCTTCTTCATCAGATGAAACTGAACTACGGTTGTGAACATCTTCATTAGTGTCATCTGAAATTTCTTCTTTTGAATCATCATTTCTACTACTTGAGTCATTTTCTGATTTGGAATTGATTTGAGGATCTGTTGTAAAATCTTTTTGAGTCTGATGTTCAAATGATGTTGTACATTTCATAGGTTTTTCTTGGAAAACTACATCTCTTGAGAATATCATTTTATATTGATTTTTGAGCCATATACGATAGCGTTCGTCACCATCGTAACCAACAAGGTAACCTTTTATGGCTTTCTTATCCATTTTTTGACGTTTTTGATCAGGTATGTGAACAAAACATGTAGAGCCAATTATTCTCAAATGGTTAATTCTCGCCTTTTTACCTGTCCAAATTTCAAATGGGCTTTTATCTTCAATCGACGACTTGCCTGTTCGATTAAGTAAATATACTGCAGTTGAACATAACTCAGCCCACATAGCGACTGGAAATTCAAAATCTGGATTTGAGTACTTCAATGTGCGTGCCATTTCTACTATTGTTCTGTTTTCACGTTCACTACCACCATTTTGTTGAGGTGTATATGATGCTGTTAGTCTTTGCGTGATTCCATGGCTGCGCAGGATGTTTCGAACTTCTTCGTTGTCAAACTCACCCCCATTGTCACTCAAAAATTCTTTTACTTTATGACCTTGAGTCGCTGCTTGAGACAAAATATTTTGTAGTGCCTGTTTCACTTCATTTTTGTGTCTAAGAAAAGAAATGAACCTCATTTTGCTGTAATGATCTTTGAAAACAACAAAATATCGTTTACTATTAAATGATTCTGTACTGAAAGGACCACAAACATCTGCTGATAGTAG